AAGCACACGACAAAGTAAACTTTTGCAATGATCAAAACTTTTATGAATGTGAAATCATGCTACTACCAGAAACGATGACAACAGGTATTTGGCCAAAATGGTCAATATATAATTTAATAAAATATTTATTTATTATAAAAATATTGTTTTTTTTCCACAGAAAAAAAAACAAATTACTTTCCAAACAACCCAATAGTTTACATATTCCTTTATTTTTACATTAGCCTCAGACTTGTACTTCAACAGATAAACTTTGGTATAACCACTATAATCATCTATAATCATTATGTAATATCTGTTTCCACCAGGGGTTCTCACTTGCATGGGTCCACACAAGTCACTATGCAATAGCTCAAGCTTTGTACTATTTCTTTTCATTGATTCTTTTGGAAATGGTTTCTACGGCATTTTATTTTTCATACAACTTTCGCATCTCACAGTTCACCCACACTCATTAATTGTCACACCCTCAACACTTTCGGCAGCCATTACAGATGGATTACAGTGGCCACATCTCAAGTGCCACAGATGCACACACTGCTTCTTAGGCATAGATAATAGTCGTAAGGCATTGTGTTGGCTCAATACAAATAGTGATCCCTGAAGCTCAGCATTTACATGTGTCTTGCCATCTCATTTTATGTAGCACTACATTGTTTTGCTGTCAAAACACACATCATAACCACTTTGCATCATTTTTAAGACTGACAATAAATTCCCATTTAGTTTTGGTACATATAACACATTATCTAATTTTATCTTGCCATCTGAACTACCTTCATCACAAATTAGTTCACCATGTCCAATTCCGCTTGCAGGCACTTCTCTTCCATCAGCCACACAAACAATTTCATTGTTGTTGTTGTTGTTGTTGTTGTTCAATTTTCTGAAGAAGTTCTTGTTGTTTGTCATGTCAGCTGTTGCTGCTGAATCAACATACCAATCCCTTGTAGTCTTCACAGCAAGACATTGTTTCATATCTAATGGCATATTTTGTGTGCTCATACATGCAGAGTGGCATTTGTATGTTTCATCCTTGTCCAACAGATCAAACTCTTCCTGGCTTCAGTTAATTTTACTTTGTGCTCTTTCTTTTTCTTTCCTCTGCCCAATTCAGGACAGTCCCTTTTCAAATGGGGACCCCCACAATAGTAACATACAGTTTTTGGTTTACGGACCATTGTTTTCAAAACTGCGGCTTCATCCATATTCATGATATGTCCAAATGAGCCTCTTGATTGCTTCTCATACTCTTCCATGATCTTAATCTTTATAAATTCAAGAGTGAGGTCTGTATCTGCTCTTGCCTCAAGAGCAGTCATTAATGTATTATAATTATCAGGCAAACTTCCCAACATAAGAATTCCCATGAGTCTGTCACTCATTTGTTCTCCTAAAGCAGTTAACTCATCTACTAAGTCCTCTATAGTACTTAAATATCTTTCCATATCCTGTCCCTCTTCATACTTTAAGTGAAATAATTTCTTATATAGACTTACTTTTTGTGTAAGTGTTGACCTTCAATGGTGTTTTTCTAACAATTTCCACATTTCTTTTGAAGTTTTTGCTATTCTGATGAGCTGTAATTGCAAATCTTCCACCAAGAGACTGATTTTACTTCAAGGCTTTCCATCTTTTAGTTTCCATTCAATCATCTGTGGCTCATGTGGTGGATTGCATAAAACATCCCATAAGTCACTGTCAATAAGTAGCAGCTCCATTTTAAACCTCCAGGCTGGATAATTATTCCTGTTCAACTTCATGATGACCGTTTTCACACTGTTGGCCATCCTGTCTTTATTTTTGCACAAGTACACTAAATAAAGTAAAACTTGTCTCACTATTCACTCAGTAAATACCCATGTACCTTTGTTGGGCCCATAACCTGTTAAATATATCACTTATGCATTTACAGATTGCGACTAGGATACCTTACAAGTAAGCAGGGCTGTGGAGTCGGAGTCATGGAGTTTTGGTGTTTTAGCCGGAGTCAGAGTCGTCAAAAAATCCACCGTCTCCGACTCCTTTTTAATTACAAACTTGTTATGTATATAAAACAGAAAAGTATTGGAATTGTGTCAAATTTGACCCTCCATGTTTTTTTTTGCAAATCTACATGTTTGGAGACCTCCTGAACCCCTCAAAAAAGTCAATAAAAGGGGAAAAATTGTGTGTGTGTGTGTGTGTAGGTGTCTAATTTCTTTAATTTCTTCATTTTCTGTTCTGAGATATAAAACAATATCTCAGAATGGGTAAAGTTTAAGAAACGAAATGTGGCACTGTAGCTTGCGTATAAAGGGCATTAATACTATTAAATTTTGGTTCTTAATTAAAGGTCGACAGGGTGAAGACATAAAAGGGGTCATGTGTAATATGTCTTAATGAATATTTTACTTGTTATTAGCATTCAAAATTTAAAAAAATAAAATAAAACTCGTCTCTACCCTCAAAGTAAGCTTTTTTTTGTCATTTTATAATAGTACAGTAAAACCGTTAAGATGTTCTCACCTAAGATGTTAGAATGTGTATGGGGACACGATTTAGTTCAACCACTTTGACGCTTAATAACTAACTCCTGTGTTAAACCATCTGATTCTGATTCTGACCACAGAAATTATTAGGCTTCAAACAGAGTGAACAAAATCATGCCCCCCCCCACATGGTCTAACATCCACACATATAGAAAAAACCTCGAATCTTTTGCTTAATTAACTGAAAATTTCAAGATGTTCCGAGTCCAAAAATGTAAAAATTTGGGAGGGGTCATTTTTTTGACCGAGCGCTACACTTTGTTATATATCCTCTGTTATATATAACAGCCAGAAAAGTAAAAATTATCGAATACATATTTATATATTACTTAGAGGAGTCTTTTAGTTTTGAAATAAAAAGTTTCTACGTTCTATCTTTATTAAAACTCTATTTATTGAATCTTTTATTCTGAGGTCACGTGATGACATCAGAATTTCCGGGTCTCTTTCGGTAACAAGTCCACCCCTGGTCAGAGTCTGAGTCAGATGGTAAGGAAAAGTCGGAGTCGGTAGATTTTTACACGACTCCACAGCCCTGCAAGTAAGTATAAATCATACATGACTACTTTGATCCATTTCAAAGTCGCACTGAACCAAAAAGTGGCGGGCTTGATAGAGATGCCACTCCATGGTCATTTATTCGTTAGAAAAATAAAAATACAAAGGACATATAACACAAATCATTGCCTCACATATAGGTAATGACAGGATAAAAATTTAACATACATAATATCTTAACAAAAATATAGCATCGTTATTTATATAATCAGCTAAAATATTATAAATTAATATTAAAAGAATATTTGCATTAATTTTGTATCACTTATAGTATAATTTAAATTATAAATTCAAACAATATCCAAATGATAAAACTGAATCTTCAAACAAAAATAAAATAATCAAAATAATGAAGAAGCATATTGAAATCTTCATTTATAAACTTTTGACAATATTTTAATTAATAATTTTTTTCACATTTAATACAATGAAGCTCTCATTGATGTCATCCACTGTGTACATTTATATATAAAAAAATATATAAAAATGTGAAAGCAAACTAAACAGAAAATAATACAAATCATTCAGTACCAAAAATCTATAGTTGCCATTTACAAACACTAACAGTTAACAGAGCATCTGAATTCAACAGTACAATAGACTTACTTGCACATCTGCTGCATTATTCTAACAGCATGTTGAATGTACTAAGCAAATCTGTTACAACAAACATATTACAGAAATTTAAGATTAATATTAATATTCTGAATGAAACAAAAGATAACAAAGATACAAATGGCAATAGAGAGAAGAAAATGGTAAAACTAAAAGTTTATTTTATATTTTTATCATCGGATTATTGTTGTGTTGTCAGGATGACAAATTATTATTAATTCAACAAACATTTCACTTTCGTAATAAAATTTATTCTCTCTGGAATAAGTAATGATTTCAATAGATATCCATAAAATTTTGGCATCAATTACAGTCATGTAAGAGAAAATACAGTTGAAACCAGTTTTACAATTAGCCATTTAAGTGATCACCTCTACATAATGGTCAGTTTTTGAAATTACCAATTTTTTGTCCATTGACTTCAATGGCAAGTGACCAATTTACTGCACATTTTTTAAGTTATATAATAATTTAATGGTCAGTTAATATAAGGAAAGAAATTTTAAAATATTTAAAGATTGAATAATTCAGCATACATCATGGAAACAAACATGATTACAACTGGAACTACATTCATAAAAATATAATTAAGTAATAAATATAATTTATTTTAAAAATATCTATATGAATAAAATCTGTTTTCAATCATTTATGAATATTCCTCCCATATACTACTTGTAGAAATTTATTCCTTTGTCATTTATGAATTTGAAAAATAAAAAACTACATTAAAATTAATTAAATTTAATTATTAGGATGTTAAAATAAAGAAATATTGCATTGTAACAATTATTATAATTCATGATTAAAACAGACTGAAATAATTGGTACGAATTATTATAATTTTCATACATGATAATAGATACTTTTTATTTGCTACTGTTATTATTTATTATGTTTGCTTATGGTTATTAAAGTGTCTACTTGTTGATTCAAAAGATTTTATGTACAGTAGATGATATCATCATTACTATCTGACATATTGCAGTAATCAAAACTATAAATATAATGTCATTATTATTTTGCTTTAGTTTTTAAATTCTGTAATGTACAAATCCATTTTATTGATTAAATGAATATTTATTTAAAATTTTAATTATTTAATAATTTCCAGGTTAAAACACAGCAGTAAAATAAATTTAAGAGATGACTATAATTAAAAATTTATGTAATAATTATTAAATTTAATTCAAAAATTATTGTAATTATTATTCATACAAGACAATACATATCTACTTTATAACAAAGTATTTTATATTAATTGTTAATAGCTAAAATATAATCAGAATAATCTAGCATTTAATGATTTGATTATTACAGAACATTCAGACTTGATTGTTTATATTTAGCTACAAGAATTTCTAATAAACTGCAGGCTCGAAATAGAAAAGGCCACATTTTAATGTTTGAGATAGCCACTCTGGAGGCAGAGGATATATAATGATGTAGATTATTTGAAGGTTTTATTTTCATTCTAAGAATTTTCTATGATGTATAAACTAGTGTGAATTATATGCTGCTTTATTGCTGTATTTAATCCTAGTAAAACAAATTCATTGTTCTGTAACATGTTAATGCAATCATTCATTTCCCATTAAAACCTGCAGCCCAATTAAAAAAAAAGCTTAATAATTTGTGCAATACAAACAAACATAGCAGACCTATACATTCTCACTGTCATCTGTTAGTCCTTCCTTCATTAGTCTCAAGAATAAAGTAAGATACATGAAAATCAAGACCAAATATGGAAAGCTTAGGGACTGAAGATCTCAATTAACTATATACAAACTTCCAGTCAGGACTGAAAGTCACATGACTTTAAATTAAAAGATGATTAAAAATTGCAGCAAGCATTGTGACATCACAATAAACAATTGTTTGTTATAATTTTGAAAATTTTTGCCCAAAGTATCAATAACACATATTAGCATTATTGACTTCTCAAATACCTTTTGTAAAAAAAAAAATATTTTTATTTTAAATTATTTTTATTAAATTATTAAAAAAATTATTTTTATTTATTATAATAAACATAAAAGGTATTTAATTTATTATTTAAAAAATATCTGAAATAATCAACTCATTCTTACAAGGATAAGTTAATTGAATGTGTAAAAACATATTATTTAACTTATTATAACATGGTAATTTTGCTTATATCTAATATATAACTTATTTTATGCAAAAAACTTATAATTAAATAAAGTTTGGAAATATAGTTATTTGGATAAAATTAATTAGATTTATGGTTATATCTATGCTATAATTTGCTGTAAGTTTGAAATACATATTGTACAGTACAATATGAATAACAAATTTCATATTTTAAAAGGAATTTAAGAATGATTTCCTTTTGAAATAAAATAAATTTGAATTTGATAATGTTTTTAAATACATTAAGAACACTTGCTTAGAATTATATTTCTAATTTGTATATATTAACCTAACTATTGTATAAAAACTATTAATTTAATAGACTAAAAATTAAGTAACTTCTATTTATGTAAATTCAAAAACTTTGGTAAAATAATTTTTAATTTTCAGTTTTCCAGAGAAGCTATTTCTTTATTATACTTTTGTTACCTGATATGCCTTTCAAATATATCTAAGCATATACCTCTTCAGTCTATAAAAAAATATGTGAAATGTTCATTATTTACATTGTGATCTTTTCATCAAACTAAAATACTTTGTATCTAGTATGTTTAGATCTTTAGGTTCTTTAAAACACTTTCTAAATAAAACATTTTTTATATGAAACAAATATAAAATACTGTACATTTTAATGATAATTTTTAAAAAATATTTTATATTTGTTTTGCATTAAGGATTTTTTTAAGAGAAGAATATGGACATCCAGTGAAACCTGGATTTAGCAGACATCTCTACATAGTGGATAAAATGTCCTGTTCTGACAAAGAAATAGAATTGGTAATATATTTTTATCTTGATTAAGATGATGCTGCCTTCTGCAGACAATGAAAAAATTTCCTACCTTTCTTATTCTCCAAAACTTCTGTTAAGTGAAGATAAAATGGATTACATACTTCCCATAAATATTAGTTTAAAAATATGCTTATCTTTGGTATATCATGATCCACAGAATTTCTTTATGTCTTTAAACTTGTCAAAGTTTTTTAGTTATTTATTTTATTTTAATTACAATTGGAAAAGTCTAAGACAAAAGGTTTCCATCCACTGAATAACAATAAAATAAATGAAAAAAGAGCTAAAAATTCCATTTTTTAGATAGTACTCTGACACTCTTTGCATCAGGCTTTAGTAGATTGACACCAATATTTTCCTCTTGCATAATAAAATTAAAATATTAAGTAACTCAAGAAATTTTTGAAAA